AAGATTACACTTTAAAATAGGCAAAATAGGCAAAACGTGACAAACAGCACTATTAACTGTTAGCACTATTACCAATAGAATTTTAGAATTTTAACAACATAAAACAGTATTTGCAAAAACACTTCCATTTAAGTCCTCAAGAGCTCTGAGGGGTGGTAAATTAACCTAATATGATTGAATTGATATATGTGACCCTGGACCACAAAACCAGTCTTAAATCTCACGCATACATCAATGGAAATCTTATTTATTCAGCTTTTTTTATTTAAAAAATTGACAATTATGACTGGTTTTGTGGTCCAGGGTCACATATCTGTTGCATGTGAGAGACTTTATGCTTTGGTAACACTTCTTTTGTGCCAATAAATAAGTAATTATAATAATTATGAAGAAAACTGATTATGTTGAAGCCATGATGTTGTAGAGCAGTGGCTATGGTGTCATGTATTGTTCCCACTCTCACTGCTTCATTTCCTGTCTGCCCTCAACTGTCTCTGTCAATAAAAGCTAAAACCCGAAATAAAATAAAAAAATGCTCTAAACTGAGTAGAGTTGGCAAAGGTATTCATGGGCATGCATGCATGCATTCAGAAAAGATTAGCTATTGCTGAAGCTGATGATGGTTGAATATAAAGAGGCTTCATTGTTGTGTGTGAATAGGCAGCATTAGAAAACAAGCATTCACCAAGCATTAATCTTGTGTAGAACAACGTTAAAGACCATGTTGTCTACCTAGGCCATAGTTGCAGTTCTTTGAAATGCAGAGATGTGCAGAATGTTTATTTTCTGTTAAAGTGATGTGTGTTATTTAAAATACTTTCTCATCTCCAACCATAATATGTAGGGACAACAAGTAAGCTTTTTGCTTGTTTGCTTATTGACGTTGCACTGATATTATTATGAGAGTAAAGCTCTGTGGAAAACACTCTGTTTTGTGTTGTCAGTAAAGTGAATTTTCCGCTTTCAGATAAAAATATTATTTTATTGCATGAATGAAATAGTCACAAATCCATTTTGCTGAAGAGCAATGCGTCTTTCTTAGTGACAGGCTGTGAATTGCTGTGTAGACGTATATTCAGACATGTAATTATCTTCAGCTTTGCACATGGCTTTAGTATATGTGAGCCACACATATCTGACGAATCACATTGGAGATTAAATCTGGGGGGATACAGCTGAGTCAGGGGTTTTCTGTTGCGGTTTCCTATAGGAGAGCCCTGGATGTCATTTTTCGGTTCAAATGTTATCAATATTATTCATGCACACACGTTTGTGGGTTTTGCCTTAGACTCTGGATTTGATGCTTAAATATATGCATTTATTTTTCATTTATCTAAAAGACAACATGAATTGTTAACATGGCACAGTTCACTTCCATAATCTGATGTATTTCCAAGTGAATAAGGACAGTCAATATGAAAATAATACAGTTCAACACTTCATTGGGAATTGATTGGCCTACACATCAAAATGCCTTTAATCCCAAAGTAAGTAGCCATTTGGCTGTTAGTTAAAATTAGTCCGCATGGCCTAAAGCTCAAACTCAGTTCCTGGAGGGCCACAGCTCTGCACAGTTTAGCTCCAACCCTAATCAAACACACCTGATCCAGCTAATCAAGGTCTTCAGGATCACTAGAAACTTCCAAGCAGGTGTGATTTGGAGCTGGTTGGAGCTAAAACCAGAAACACACTGCACGATTTTTGGCTGTCCCAGACGAAAGATTGGCATCGTGAAAGAACTGTAGCGATTCCTGTGATCCTGGCTCCTAATCGGTGGTCCTGTGTCATACAGTGAGAGAGGTTCAAAGATGGCCGTTGTCACGGTCTTGCAACCAAAGATAGCCTACGATACAGCATGATCATCGCACAGTGTGTTTGCTGCTATGATCCACGTTTACTGACCAACCAATAAAAATGCAACATGAAATCAATGCGACATGGCGCTAAAACATAAAACTGCTTACCTCAAGCTCTTATGCCTTCCTCTTTCGCCGCTTCCACTTTTTTCAGCACACATAAAAACTACAATAGGTCAATAGGTGTCATCATTGTACAATCTACACACTTGTCGTAGCCAAGTTTATTAGATCCATGTCGCACAGTGTGACATGCAATGATCTTACAGGATTTCTAAAATCGTGCAGTGTGTCTCGGACTTTAACTCTGCAGAGCTGTGGCCCTCCAGGAATTGAGTTTGAGACCACCTAAGCAATGTCAGCAGACAAAGAAAACGGTTTAAGTTGAAGAACATTTTGATGCAGTTAATAACATTTTGTTAAAAAATTGACTCTAAACTATGTTAACTTGTAAACATCTTTCCACTTGTTAAAATTTACCATTTACATAAATATTTAAAGTGAGAGACTTCGTTTAGCAGTACTTTTAATCATTTTAAATCATAACTTAAGTCAAACTTTTTCACTATGTCCAAAATGACCAATTTTAACAATTGAAATACTCTCAGCCAGCGCAAATTTGCTACGCAGTGGTAATTTGCACCATTATGCATATCAAAATCATACATGTCCAAAACAACCATACACAGTAATTTAACAATTAAACTGCTGTCGAGCCAATGCAAATTTGCAACATGGTGACCTTCCCCTTTTGCAGACGGCAGTCATTAACACCTGTGTTCTTTATCAAATTAGCTTTTAATAGAGAGTCACTCTGTTTTGCTCTTGTCAGTGATTTTATTTTCCTGTTTCATAGTGAATGTCACTGTAACACAAAGACCACAGCAGTCTGAATGCACTATATGAGGACTTGTGTGGGAGATTCTTCTTTTCAGAGCAGGTGATGTGGTAATGGATATATTGAATGTACAGTGCATATACCGAAGCACAGAGCAAGGTCATTTGGAGAAGTGCTGTGTTGGTGTGTGCTGTATGTTCAGCTCCCTCCATTAACACTGAGGGTGCTTGGCTTCCATGATACTTACAAACAGAGAGAACAATGGATTTTTGCAGGCCAACCTGCAGACCAAAAATAGCTTCAATGCAATGGACGAAACCAACATAGCTGATGTAGTATGTCTGATAACGTATCTCCATATGTATAGAACATACTTGTACATACTCAGGAATTCTGACCTCATTGTTGTCTAACTCTCTTTTAACATACTTCAGCGGTGTTAGTATTGCAGTCTAGTAGTTTAGGAAGACAGACACAGAGTGAGTTTGTGTGTTTGCATGCTTGTGTATGAATGCCTCTGAGCGCAACTTAAGCCTGTTTTCACTCCACATGTGTCATATCATTTTGCCCTTCCTATGGTCCAAGGCTCTGTGTGGCAAATTGCTGGAAAATCTATGCAAATAAGCTCCTTGTTTTATTCATAGAGCTGGAACCTGAGCTGTAGGGCAACCATTGTTTTTGATTACTATCAATATAAAGTCTCTTCCTGTAATTACAGGTAACAGCTACAATGCCTGTAAGGAACATCTAACAAGGCCAAAGACTAGACAATTTCACAGTGGAATTTTAACAAAATTACAGTGTTTTAGGGAAAGGAAGAGAGAAAAGTTGGCGGAATGAACAAAAAAAGAAAGAAAGAAAGACATCACATCAGGTTTGTCACCTTATTTCTGTTTTGGTGATGCTGAAGCCCTTAGTAAGTTAATCCAATGTACAGTAGCAGTTGGGATATCAGTGAGGGGTGTTGTAGAGGGCAGAATTCTGGTTATCATCTGATAATACAGCTTTGCTTTATTTATTCTTGATCAAAAATACAGTGAACTGCAATATTTTAAAATAATATTCCAATTGTAAATGTATTTTAATATGTAAAAAATGTAATTTATTTTTGAGATGGTAAAGCTGAATTTCCCAGCAGCCATTACTCCAGTCTTCAGTGCCACATGATCCTTCCGAAATCATCCTTAAATGCTGATTTTGGTGCTCAAAACATGTTATTATTATATAAGAACAGCATTTATTGGAATATAAATCTTTTGTAACATTATAAATGTTAAAACATAAACATTATAGTCTTTTACTGTTACATTTGCTCAAATTAATCGGTCTGTTTGAATGCATTTCTTTTAAAAACTGGCTAAATAACTATAAATTCATATTTAATAACACAAACAATTGAATAATTAGCATTTAAAATAAGATGTATTTCTATTTCTTTTTTTAGTGGACAATATTGTATAGAACTTTAATATATATAATATGTATATATATAATATTTAATATATATCTATATTAAGACCTACTGTAATGCATGGATCAAATATAATGTTACACATCAGAAATTTCCTCAACCATTAGCGAGCAGAGAAAAAGGTAGGCTACTCCTATCAGAAAACGTACAAATAAAGATAATTTTAGATGTTTAATTACTATTTGGAGCATTGGGATCGCTAGAAGAGGGCTTAATGAACTCCTTTTTGTGAAAACCTCAAATTCAAATTTCGACCATAACTGACATTTTTCACTTCTTTTGCCTGTAGCTCAAAATTAGACTGACTGAAAATTAGGGTCACATATACTGTTCGCTAATTGTTGGCTTTTTGGTATAGACGAGAAACTGTGCATCCCTAAAATTGAATTCTATTGGATCTTCATCCCAAGCATATACTGATGAATGCATCACAAGGAAGATGAACTCAGTCATGAAATGGCTCCATAGATTCCGCATCTTGTATTTGATGTAAAGTATGTAATAGATCTTACTGCAGGCAGTGGGTGTTCGCCTCACTTTCTGCCTGTGATAGTTCAATCAAACTGGCCCCATTACTGTTAAATCACCTCCATTTGCATCTCACCAGTAACCGCATAAGCAATCCCAAAGAAGCCTAGACATTTCCCCCCCTCTTGCTCTCATTCTTCACTCTGCTACATTTGTAGCTCATTTACCCTCAAGCATTGCTGGGGGCTTAGGAGGAGAAAATCTGCTGTGAGAAATATTGTGCTAAGCTCTCGATTTCCTCTTTTAACCGGGTGCCCTTGCTCCGTCTGACCTTCTGACCGTGATAAATGTGTCTGATGTGTTGCAGGGGAGTGAGGAGGGAGATGTGGATAAGAACAAGTGCTGTACACTGTGTAACATGTCCTTTACTTCAGCGGTGGTAGCGCAGTCTCATTACCAAGGCAAGATCCATGCTAAGAGGCTCAAACTTCTGCTGGGGGAACAGCCTGCCATAACAGCCAAAGGTACGTGTTGCTCACACAAACACACACGTAGCACTAAAAAGTTCTTTAGGAGGGTGTTTATGTATGAGGAGATCTATCGGAGATGACCGCGGGTGGCTGGAGGATCAGGGCAGGCGTCTGAACGAGCCGGACACTCACAGCATTGCATTGCACATCATTGCTCACCGCCTACAGGGGTAATTGACCTAAAAATAAAGCGTAAGAGAGTGCATGTGGCTGTCTGCGACTTTGTAAAAGGAGCTTTACTGAAGCAGCCGAGTGAAAGCAGTGTGTTTGAGAATACTGTTGTCACACTGTCTGCATATTTGTGTTTATGTCTGTGTTCATTCTTGCATTAGGTTTCTGTCATGCAGTGCATGTTAGATTTCTGACCTGTTTACAGCACAATAGCTATGAGCAGGAAACACTCGGGGATCTGTGGGGTCTCAGAAATCCTTTGCCTGTAGGAGGATGCACAAAGGATATACAGTGTGTACAGTAGAGAGAGGCTTCGTGCGTCATTTCCATTTCAGCCAATGGAGAGAGAGACTGGCTTTCAGTTCCGTTCAGCATCCATTAGTCACCAGCTTTCCTACTGGCTGTGCCTCCAAATGCCCAATGTGTTTATTAATTACACACTTCACTGGACAGCTGTGCCGCATATGGCATAGTTAGGGGGCCCACCACATCACATCCAGTGTTTAGGATCAATTACACAATTCTAACGCTTGAGATGGAGCCACAGCCTGTCCACTATCTATGTCAAATTGATGTAATCTATTGGGAATACAAGGCAGACTGCTGGATGATAACCACTGTGTATCCTGTGGGATGTTATTATTATTAATAATATAAAGTATAAAAAATATTATTACTTTTTATTTTTTGTATTTTATTATAATAATTTCGATTATGATTTGTCAAATATTGCACATTTATTATAATAAAAAATTATTTAATAATAAAATACATCTAAATACAATTATTATTATTATATTTAGAATTATGTATTATTATATTTAGTTATTTTTATGATTACATTATTTACATATGATTAGTAAATAAAAATACATCTAACTAAAAAGTAATAATATTTTATTATTATATTAGAATATCTAAATAAAATACCTAGTAATATTTATTATTATAATCATTAATGTTATTAATATTAAAAATTATTTTATGTAGATGTATTTATATTTTATTATAATTATGCTTATGATTTTTACACAAATATTACACATTTATTATAACAATTAAATAAATGTAATGATTAAAAAAAACACAAAATAAAAACTAATAATAATACATTATTATTATTATTATATAGACTTATTTTTATAATTACATTGATTTTATTATTATAATGTATACTATTTAAAAAACATATTCATAATTATTATAATAAAAACAAAGTAAAAATACATCTAAATAAAAAGTAATAATATTTTATTATTATTATTAAAAATATATTTATTATAAAATATCGAAATAAAATAAATTATTATTTATTATTGTCATTATTAAATCAATATAAATATTTAAAAAATACTTTTCATTTAGATTTATTCATATTGTATTATTTTTATTATAATAATTCTGCTTATGCTTTTTCAAATATTACACATTTATAATAATAAAATCAATTTAATGATTATAAAACCTCTAAGTAAAAACTAATAATAAATTATTTTTATTATTATTATTATTATTATTATTGTTATTATAAAATATCTAAAACAATAAATATTTACCATTATTATTATTTTAT